AATATATTAAATTTAAGAGTAGAACTTTCTATTTATATAAATAAATTAATAAAAATATGTTATAAAAAATATTATTTTAGAAAAAAATCCGGCATGCCCGGTATTTTAGCCAGTATTTTGGCCGATAAAATCGGTATTTTCCAATATGAAGTCGGTATAAACCGGTATTTTGGCCAAAACGATATTTTGGAGGTAATCATACCGGTTGGACCACCGGTATCCGGTATTACTGGTAGTACCGATATTTAAAACACTGGTAAAAAGCATGTAAGCATCTCAATTACATCGACCCTAAGTTGAGGTTGTAATCGGCGGTGAAGCTTATCCCCCACCTTCTCACTAGCCGACCTTGACCCCTGTGCTTTTGAGGTCATAGTGCTAATCAATTTTCCTGTTTTTTTCAAAGCCAATTTCAAAAAGAAAAAAATAAGATGCTTTTGTTTTTTGTAGTAATCTTGCTCTATGTGCTTATATTATGTCTCTCACAAATTCTATGTTTCATCATTTGTAAGAGGATCCTGGTTGTTGTTTGAGTGACAGCTGCTGATATAATAATTTTTTTACTTTTGATTAAAAAAATTTTGAATCACACACATATTTATTCTGAATTCTATCTATCCATGGGATAAGTTTGGAAAACTAGTAGGGATATGCAAGAACAAACTATTTTGATCTTCTGCAAGCTCCAATGAATTCCCTAAGAACTTCTATAGTAAATGGAATTTATAGAATGGAATGGAATGACCAGGAATGGTAAAGACACGTCTTGTCTAGCAGTGCAACGTTGGGCGTGGTTACCACTTTCCTTCATGGGGAAAAGTTAGGATAATTTGTAGTTATCTCTGGGAGAGAAGTGTCTGTGATAAACCAACATGCTATACTCTGAAGAACCATGGCTCGACATCGGATCAATATCTTATTGACTCATAATGGTTTGCTTAAGAACATAAAGAAAATAGTTAAATTTTAGAAGTGCGATGCTCATTTACTCATCTCCACATCTAATTAGAAAGTCAAGTAATCACAAAACTAACCTATTTGCATAGATTTTCCTTAAACTTTCCCCAGCAGCATCTTCATAATATTGACAACTCTTTGGAAATAAATTTCACCTTAAGTGTTATTAAATTGATGAGTTGGAAATATACACTTAAATCAAAGTTTCTTCATTATAACATGGATTAACATTTCATTCATTGATACACATATTAATATTGGTGTGCCATAAAAAAAAAAAAAATGCCTAGTATAAATGATGTAAGGGTGTAAGGTCTACCACATTGGGCATTAATTCATTTGATATGTTGCATATCAATTAAAATAATGTGGGGCTTTGTTATAAAAAAAAATGGTGTATATTGTAAGGTGGATTGTTAATAGTTAAAATAGTGTTAATGAGTAAAATGAGGCAAAATATAAAAATGGTTATGGCCATGCACAGAGGATTCGGTCCTGTTGATGAGAGCACTGCCCTCACTGGTAAGGATATACTCCCTCCTATTCATAATAAGTATCATTTTGAATTGTACAGTAATTAAGAATCTTTGTTTTCCAATAATAACCTTCATTAATGAATATAGAGATAGATGATTTGAGAAAAGATGAAGAGTGAACCCATAGGGTAATCTCATCAAAGCAACTATGCTTACTGTGCAGCTCATGGAACCATTCCTTCAGAATTAGATATTGGTTCTCATACATCCAGTTATGGCCAGCAACCACTTTCTTTTTGTCCTCTTGGGAAAGAAAAATACACTGAAATTTTTTTCCACTAATCTCTTTCACCTCCATCGAGTGTTGCATTCTCCAGATAGCACCCATGGTTCTCTTGACTCCCAGCAGACCAGCATGCCTATCCCCCACCACTTTCCCAAACAAACTCCTGTTACACTCCTCATCACTGGATTTGATATCATCTCCCGTGATTTTTGCCTCCCCCGATTCTTTAGCGGTTAGGGACATCTTAAATAGTTTTGGCAATACCCCATCACCTCCCCCCTGCCTTTGCCATCTCCGGCGGAATACCCTCCATATAGCACGAGCACGATTCACAAATCAGTAGAAATTCACAAAAACTGAACCCTAATTTGGGTATAACACCACCCACCTCAAACGAAGCACACATAAACCCTCACGAACAAGAAAAGAGAACATAAATCGAAAGAAGAAGCCCACAGACGTCGGAATTCACCTCCCACCCGAGAAAATTAAGCTCTCACCCAAGAAAATTAAAAAGATAGTGTTTAATAATATATATTTTTTATTGTTTATATTTATTTTATTTTCATAATAGATTAGATGTGAAAAATATAAAGAATTATATTTAAAATAAAGTCTAAATTTTTTTTTAAAATATGAGGTCCTCCGTTCATCGCACGGGATATGCACTAGTTTAAGGGTTATTTGATTTGGAGGAAAATGAGGGGAGGGAAAGGGAAGGNAGTTGGGAATGGAAGGGTATTTTATTCGAGAGCTCTAGTCGAGCTTACAAAGTAAAAAGAATCAGTTAGAGAAGTTAATTAATTAAATTAAGAATTTAATTTAAGAATTTAATTAAGTGATTTAATTAAGAAATTAAATCAATAGTTTATCTTAATAATTCTTTAAGTAAAATATCATATTAAATAAATTGTTAAACATGTAGATTAAGAGGAGTCGAGCCCTCAAGAAGATTCATTGAGCATCCATTCATTTATCCGCATTCGAGGTGGGGATTCTGTACTACTCCTTAATTATCTAAAATCGCTTGATATTATGATTGAGGTATGAATGTGAGTATTTTTCTTGAGCGGGACATCAATTATGAGATAGATCTCCCAGTGCACGTTTGGGCAGTATCCCATTTTGCCGCCGATAAAAGTATGTACACATGAGATAGACTCTCGTTGCGTGTTTGGGCACAACCCATTTTCTCGACCGAGAGTACAGTTGAGACAGTTGAAGCCAGTTTATTCATGTTCATGATAATGTTATGATATCTGTTATTATGGCGAATAATCGCGCAGTATGTCTCTCCACTGAGCTAGTGTTTTGCTCACCCGCCTTATTTTTTCCCCCTTTCAGGTTGAGTGGGTTGGCGACAGACACGGTTGACGTGGGTGGTCATTTTATGTTATTTCAGTTTATGCTTCCGTTAAGATTCAGACTATTGCATGAGTTTGAGATTTGAGACTATGTTATGGATGGTTTGAGACTTTCAGTTTTATTGCATGAATAATTATGAGTTAAGAATTTGAGAAGTTGAGTTAGCAGTTGAGAAGAGAGATCCCATAAGAACTTAAGCGAAAGACTTCAGTAAAGTTTTAAAAGTAAATCAGTTTCCGTAAATTAGAAGAAGAAGAAGTAAGTGCCCTAAAGAAGCTTAAACGTTAAATGTTTTTGAAAAGTTCCAAATTTATTATGAAAACTAAGGGGGTGATTGGATATGAATTCAACTAGTAAAAAATTAGTTTTTTTTTAACTATAGTTAAGTTTGAAAAAAGGTGGTATGATTAGTTGTTAGTGGATATATTAAAATAATATTTAAAATAAAATAATTAAAGTTGATTTGATGTAAAGGTAGGAGAAAATGATTGGAAGTAATGGTTAGTTAAAATTATGTGAGCGGATGAATAATAAATTAAAGGTGATGTGATGTGTAAGAATGATTAGTTGATATTATTTAATTATATTGATAATATTAGAGATAGTGAGTTGACTTTCATTTTCACTACGATTCAGATCAAGTCTGACCGAAGTTGAGTTAAATTTGAGTTTTAATTGATTTTTTTATTGTACAATTTATAAGCAATCGTTTCCTAA